TCGAGATGATAGATTTTTAGCCATTCAGTTTGATAGTGTTCTATTATAGAATTACTTTTTGGGATAGAACACTCTTAAATAATTTTGGGTCTGACTGATTTTTGATTGGATCGGTAACAACACTTTGGACCGAATCAATTTTGATTTGAAAAAAATGGTGTATTTAAACTCTAATAACATCTTAAAATTTTGTGAATTTCAGCACACAGCCAATTCCGAATCAATTTTGATCTGAAAAAATTGTGTATTTAAACTCTAATAACATCTTAAATTTTGTGGATTTCAACTCATACCCAAATGTTAATAAGCAGATTAGCTTATGTTCTTTACATATTATTTTTTTGAGAAATTTCAAAAAATACCACTTTTCAAGTGCCATTTTACAAAAATGCCACACTTTTGAAATCTTTACACAAATGCCACTTTTTCAAAATTAATTTTTCTTTATATTATTTATGTTTGGGTTAATTATGTTCTATTAGAGTTTAGTTTTGAGTGTTTAGGAGGTTTTAGGTGTCAAAACATTTTTTAGGGTTTAGAATTTTAAGATATATGTTTTATAAATCTATAATTAGTGTCATTTTTGTAAATGGACACGCCTAAGTGGCATTCTTGCAAATGTGCACACAAAATGTGGCATTTTTGTAATTGTCCCTATTTTTTTTCGTTCAACAGTTTTTTATATATCATTCAAATTCAATTCAATTATGCAAATTTAAATCCACGCACTACAGTGATAATATTAATTACAAACCACTAAACTATATATTTTAATAGTCAAAACTATATGACACTTTTATTAACTGTCTCTAAAATTATATAGTAACCGTCATAGTGTCAAAAGATCAACTAAATAAAGTAAACGCATCTTTAGTTAAAGGTTGGTGGATCTCTACACAAACTGAGATCAAGGTACCAATGAAACTCCGCAGTGAATCGCCATCAGACCTCTTGGAAATCCGCTGCTTCTCAGATGCGCCGTAAAAGACGAATCACCACATCGCCGGTTTGGGATGAATCGTCAAAGACAACCAGAATGGAATCATGGCACAAGGCTCCACGGTAGAGACTCGGATAGGTTATGATTTGATGGCCGAGGCCGCGACTACGAGAGAGGCTTTGACTCAAGCAACATCAAGGAATATCAACCGTTTCACGATGGCATCAGATTCACAACAACTGATCAACCTTGTCAAATCCGACACATTCCACCTAGATATCTATGGAATTATGCAAGACATCGCCAAATTTGCTCTGGATCTTGAAGTTTCTTTTGTGTTTATCTCTATATCAAAAAATGAAGAAGTCGATCTTTTGGCAAAATCAGCCTTAAATGTTGTACCAATCAATTATAGTTTACTACCGGTTTAATGAATGAAAACCAGAAATTTTG